GGCCCCCCGGGCGGCGGCGGCGATGGCCCAGTGCGTGCAGTCGGTGCAGGAGTTCATCCAGGACTCGTTCGTGCCCTTGGTGGCCGCGCTTTGCAGCGACGAGGCGGAGAGGCTCACCCGCAAGAACAGCCTGAGCTTCGCCGAGCTGGTGAAGCCCTTCTGCCGTCTCACCTCGGAAGGTCGGTGCCGGGAGCGGAGCGGGGAGCGCGGCTTGTTTACGCGGGGCGGGGAAGGCGGCGCCGCTCCCTTCTCCCGGAGGCTGAGGGCTCCCGCCCGGCCCGCCGGAGCGGTCCTCGCCGCGTCTCCTCAGCCCTACTGCCCGGCGAGGGTGAGCCGAGAGCAGACGGGAGGCGAGACCCCTTCCCCGGGGCCGTAGCGGCGGCCACTCGGTCGGGTGCTACCTGGAGCGGTGACAGAGGCTTTGCGGCGCTTGCCGGGGCTGCCCCGGGTGGCTGTTAAGTCTGTTTAAATTTTTTCGATTTCTCTTACTCTGTGGAATCTTGGAAGTTGGGCTTCGCCTGGAGACATCACAGAGCACACGGCTAAAGAGAAAGGCGTCTGTAAATCTAACTCTTCCAAAGGGATTTTTTTTCTTTCTTTAAAACGGCTTTACTGGCTAATACTTGCACTTGACTCTTGCCATAGATCTTGGATTTCACACTTGTGGTAAGGCTGTTAGTAAAGTACTCAGTCGTTGAAAGTATAGTTGGCATTTCAGAAACATTAATTGTCATTTCAGTTATGTCTTCATTTTCTCTTATATGTATGTACCTTTTTGTTGATATTTCTGTAAGGCCTGTGCAAAGAGAAGGTGGGAATTGAGCTGGTTATGTGGCATAGGTGAACTGACCGTGTAAAGTAGCAGCAAAACTGGAAATTGACCACGGAAGAGAAATAGTAGGATTCTTTGACTGTAATGCTTTAACTTTCTATCTGGATTTTTTTTCTTAGTTTAACTAAACTGTGCTTTCTAAACTACTGTTCATCAGAATAGTATGCTGGACAGCAGCTGAAATATAGCTGCTGGTCAGAATAGCAATGCAGTGACATTTGTCAGATTTGTTTTCTGACAGCAACTTAGCCCAGACTTTAGCCTCTTCGTATCATGTGTTGAGGAAACAGTGCAAGAAAGGACGCTTAGATTAGGAGTTAGATTTTCTCATTGCTGCTTAAAAAATGACACCCACTTAAAAGATAGTATGTGTTAAAAAAATTGCCTTAGTTCTATGTCAAGTCTTAATAACTTACTAACTATAACCTGTTTACGAATGTTTTTCCCTTTCTTTAGCGACAGTCATGAGCTATGTGAGAACTGTGCAGAGATAAAAATAATAAATGTGGAATCCTTGGCTTTAAGTTATTTAAATATCTCCTTTAGGACCTTTGGTGAAAGGCTTTCAAAATGCATCTAGCAAACAAAACCAGTCAAGCTATTCAAAAAGAAGCATTCACTGTGAAGAATACTTAATTCTGTTGTTGCTAAGTTGTAACTATTTTTGTTTCAGCTATTGTAACAGGGATCTTGCAAACCTGAAGCATCCTCAGTAAATGCCTGTTAATGAAGATCTCAGTAGTATGTTGATGCATATAACCGAACTAGTCTTTACCCCCTTTTAATAAAGGAGTTAGTTATGGCTAAAGGTTAGACTCCCTCCCCTGATAGAACGTAAGACTTTGAGCTTATTACTTCAGAGACTGATACTGACGACTTTCTGCCACCTTCTAAAAACTTGTGAAGGAAAGCTACTCTGCTTCATTTTCAGGATTTCGTAGTAATTTTTAATGTTTCTGTAATTGGTCTTTTGCAAGCTGTCATGTAATAGTATAAATGAACCAACACCCTCATGAACTGCATCTAAATCCCCATCATATAGTTTTCATTACTAATTTTGCAAAGGTGACTGTTGTGATGAATCTTTGAGAAAGGGCATCCTTGCTGTTCTGTGTAGACTGTCGAACTTCGACAGTCTGAACCATCCCGTTCAGAACCTGAACCGGGGGTCAGAGAACTAAGAAACTGAAGGTTGATACAGTGGGTTTTGTTGCTGCACTGCTCTCCGTGCATTCTGGTTTAAGAGGCTGCAAGCCTGGCTTCAGTTCTTCACACCCAAGTGTGACTTCCTCTTCTAACTTCATGGAAAAAACGTTACTGCATGCTATATGAAACTTCTTGTGGTGTAGTTCAGTGCAATAGAATTTCTTGTGAGCTTGTATAATGGTAAGGAATTTCTCTAGCTCCAGAGTTTGTGGAGCTCTGACAGGGAATCATGCTTGTTGGAGTCTGCACAAATATTGTTGCATAGTGACACTGTTAACTGTATTCTGTGAACAGAATCTGGAAACAAAGGATGAATTCTTAAATTGCTCTACCTTAATAGTTTGGCCAGACTTACCAGTAAAATTTTTCCATGGTGCTTTTCATGTCTAATTAAGAGGAAGAGAAGTATGATTAGTAATCTGATCATGGTACAGCAGAATGTGTGTACATTCACATGCTTCCACAACTGTGTTTCACTGCTTATGATTGCTTATGAAGCAATGTCTTCACTTTTAAACATGGTTTCTCTTAAGGGTATGTGAAATGCTGTCCTTTTTTATTATCCACTAAGTAAAGACAGGAGTGTTGTTTTAATTTGTGATGTGAAATTGGGTAGGTTAGTATTTAATCTCTTTAGAAATAATCTGTCTCTTGTACTTCTGCAAAGTACATGCATTCCTTCCTGGGTGCTCTCATAATTTAAAGACCTCAGTCACTGGTTCTTTTACAATATAGATTTTTTTTCTTGAGGTTTAGGATTTACATAGTTCATGAGCCTGCTGTAGGCTGCATGTTTATTAGTGTTCTCACTTAGAAAAGCAGTGCAGTTACAAAGTGAATCTCTTGATTTACATGCAGAGCCGTTTTGATACACAGAAACTAAGCCAAGCTTTTTAGTGTGTATGTATCATCTTTCACACATTAATAGAGATGTGAAAGGCCCAGACCACTGCTTGATTCCTCAACTAGTCTTAAACCACGTTTCCTGTGGTTGCTCAGTCTGAGACCAAATTCTATCTAATTTCAGGTAGAACACCAGAAACATACATGATATAGTGTGGGGGTGGTGGTATTTCTGCACTAATGAGTATTAATATACTTATCAACTTCTGCCTTAAGTATGTGATGGAAGTAAGGAGGTATAATGGGAACACTGCATTTGATAAGCTTAGTTTAATGTTATGAATTCCTTGTTCACAAGTATTTTAGTCAACATCTGAGTATTTTCGACTTCTGATGAAAGATCTTGTTCTAATATGTGTTACTACTTCCACTTTTGACAAAATACTTTCTGAAATGATCTTATCAACACATGAAGGAAATGTGTAACACTAGAAATTTTGAATTGGATATTAAGGCGAGAGTGTTGTGGGGTTCCAAGTTATGTCTTTTATGTCAGTTCTTAGCATTACCCATATACCAGAAATGTCATGTAGGTCCTGTATGGAAATGTGCTTGCTCTTCATTATTATGGCTGTTATATTTTAAGGAGAGAGAGCAAGGATGAGTTTTAGTGTTATAGCTGCACTGGTAAAGACAACTAGTCGTTTGTCCCTCCGAATTTACATTTGATCTTTTCAGTAACCATGTGGCAGTAGGGTTGATAGTTTACTTTGATAAGATGAAAAAAACCACCTCCCCTCCTTCAGTTTTCTGATAGAAGTGCATTAAGTTTAGCCAGCACGATTGCTCTCCTCTGTGTTGATACCATCTTATGATGAACCTGTTCAATCTTAAATTATAGAAAAGGCGTGGGATGCTGTCCAGGAGGGGACCAATGACTAAGTTTCAGACTGTCACGGTGTGAATTTTGTGGTTAGTTGCGACAAAGGGTACAACAAGAATTGTCCTTTGTGCTGCCCTTTATAATACAGTGATTTATGAAAGTGACCTGTAAGGGAGCAGAGGGCTATATATACTATGAAGCACGTGGTAACACCGGGTGTCTTAGGTAGCCATACTCAATGCATCCTGTCTGCACTTACTGTCTGGCTTGTGTGGTTGTGTTTGTGGTTTGAAACAGGGAAAACAAAATGAAAAATCAAGAGTGGACCCATAATTGTAATGTCTGTTGAAAATGTCATTAATACTTTTCAAAAAGAGGTGCCTTGAGGGAACAATTTTCACAAAGATACTACAAATGGATCTCTGCATTTATGAGTCATGTGAAAGTCAAATCATTGCTTATGGTAAAATGTAACTTTGTAAGATACAAAAGAGATTGCATTCCCTTCAGACTTTAGTGAGAAGATCACAAAAGTAGACCTTAAGTAGAAAGATGGGCCAGTACACAAGTGTAAAAAACCCTTTAGTTTTCTCCTGATTAATCTTTTTTTTTTTTTTTGGATAATTATTCTTCAGGAGACTGAGACTTTTTTGTAAAACAACAAAACAACGAAAGCAAATCAAAAGCAGGGACTTAAGGAATAAAAGCAATAACATATGGTGAAAGAAAAAAGTGAAACTTGACTGTGATATTTCTTAAAGCATATAGAAAATAAAGGCACCCTATGTAAAACTGCCATTTATATGGAATTTCAACTTTAACTTTCAGTTAAATAATACTGTTCATTAATCATCTTGCTGTGCTGTGCTGCTGCTTTGTTCTTTAGGCTTGATATTGACCCCGTTGCATGGGCTCGGGACTCTTTCTTTGGTGGTGGTTTCTGTCTGATGACTTTCTTGGAGAAGTTGGATTTAATGGGAGGAAAATAGTATTTGGATGAGTAAAACTAAGACAAATCAGCATAAGTTACTGTGTGTTAATAACATAAGGCTGGTATTACCCTTCTAAAGGCTCGTTTTAATAATGAATCTATTTCTTTTTTGCCAGCTGTTTGTAGTTCTGTCATAAACCCTACATCCATGGACACTTTCACTGCTTTGTTGGCATTTTTTTTGAGGCT